CTTCAGGTCGGCGCGTGCGGCCCAGCCAGGTGGTAGTCTCCCATGGTGGGATTGGTCGGGTGGGAGTGCGTCGCCTGGCTTGTGCGTTGGTGGGTCGCTGGGGCTGCGGAAGCTGCGGCTGGCCACTGGCGTCGTGGTGGTAATTTGAGTAAGGGTTCTGCCGGGGGGTGGGCCAGGCGGGGGGGGCGGCCGGTTGGGGGTTGGAGCATTGGACTGCTGGTGCAGGAGCTGGAAGGCGTTCGGCACAGGGGCGGGCATGGTTTGGTGGAGTTGTGGAGTGGAGCGCCGCTGGATGATCTGTAGGTCGGTGCGCGTAGTAGTCGCGCGCGCGGGGCGTTGTGCGTGTCGTGGTCGATCTTCTGGGAATGCCGCGTTCCAATCGGGGAAATTGATGTGGGTCCAGTTGATGGGCTCGAAGCTGGCGTTGCGTGGTTTGTGGCAGTAGTACGGAAGGTGGCGTTTACCATGGCTCCCCTCGTCGTCGATGAGATACTGGTTTGATTTGCGGGCCTCGGTGTTCGATATCTTGTCGACGTCGGTGACCTTTATCTGCATAATGCTGCCAAGTCTGATCTCGGTAGGTTGCTTGTTCTCTGGTGCGTCGTAATCAGGTCGCTGTCTAGTCTCGGTGGGGGGCATCTCCGTCGAGGGTGGACTCCATGTGGTGGGCGATGCTCTTCCGCTCGGTGGCCTCGGTGCGGACGTTGGCGGTTCCGTCGATCCTCGTTGCGCAGGTCTCCGAAGCGGCAGTGGCCATCTGCAGAATTTTCGCGGGGCATTCGATAAGGGTGTCGTCAACGATGGCGGGCCACTTGGGTAGGTCACTGATAGGCGTGCTCAGCTTGACGATCGGAGCATGATTGATCTCCCTTGTAGGTACTGGTGGCGCGCGGTATGTCCCCGTTCATGCCTATGGCAGAGTTGTATCCCGTTAGTGGCATAGGTAAATTGGGTCTCGTTGTCCTCTCAGGTTGGCCTCGTCACAATGTAGTCCACCTATTGTCTGTGGCGTGATGTGGCGGCGACCGATGGGCAGGATGTACTTGTCCGCGCACGGGTGTAGCGCTCCTCCTCCGCGCGTTTCAATGTTGTCTCCTGCGCGTGCCGCAATTTACCCTCATCTCGGAGGTGGGATGCAGGGCGCCGCAGATGTCGGTGATCGCAGCGATGTAGAGCTTTTGGCGGTATCGCCCGATGTTGCTGTATATTTGTTTGCGTTCTATCTCCTCGAAGTTGTCGCGCTTCTCCATGCCATTCTTTTTGGAGATGTGCAGGGTCTGTCGATTAGTGAACGGCTCCTCGTCTTTGTTCTTCCACGGTGGCGCTTGGAGCTGCGGTGGGTCTGTGCTTGCGAGTGACGGGATGTCCTGCCATTTCAAGTTGTGGATGAGCATTCCCTTATGGTTGCGGTCGTTAGCAGCGTCTTCTGGTGCGCGGTGCTTCGTGGCTGAGCGGCAGTGTGGGCAGTTGTCAGGTCTGTCCATCCAATGGTCCGTGTCGGTCCACATCTCGTTGATGGAGCGGACCAGAAAGCGGTCGTCAACGGTGTCCCAGCTCTCCCTGACCTTGTCCTTCCATCAATTCTCCGTTGCTGCGAGGCAGGCAATGGCGATGCGGTGACGGTAAGTGGTTCGCACAAGCCCGCTGTTCACTGCAGCGGAGACGCAGATGTAGCCCAGGTCGAGGCATACGTACATATAGTGGCGTGCGAGGGCGCCGGAGGCATTGATTCCTTGTGATGGCTTTGCGATGCCTGAGCACGCGGTAGCTCCTTGTGGCTCGGCTCGAGCGTCTCCTTGCGTGTAGATGAGCGCCTTCTTGTTGTCGTAGCCCTTGCTGTTGGACACGAGGGTAGGGGTAGGCATGCCCTACTGTTGGTACTCTGATGGGGCCTCGCTCCGCGTCTTACGTGGGGCTGCGTTGATGGCTGCGACTCGTTATTGGTTGGCGTGGTCAAGATCTTTAACTCCGTTGGCGCAGTAGAGGTTGACCTCGTTGAAGTCGTTGAACTTCGGTAGTTTACCGAAATCTCATAACGTCGGGGGTCTGGGTAGGGGGAGGGGGGAAGGCTTCTTAGAAGCACCCCAGCTTCTGAGAAGGCGTGGGCCTTGTCTGTAGATGCACGGCCAGCGCCTTCGAAGAAGCAGCCTCCTTCTGAGGAGCCTTCCCCCCTCCCCGTACCCCCTGGCGTGCGCCGCCAAGTTCCAATGAGGGAGAGCGTGAGGACGGCTCGGCTCAGGGGCGAACGCATCCAAACCCAACCGCCCATTCGTCGCCAATGGGGGCCTGACAGCCCACCCGGCCTCGGAACGTGCGGATTCGCTATCAGGGGCCCATCGCCGATGTCCCGGCGATGTATCGCCGACTCCATTTCGATATCCCCCCCCCCCTCGAGACGCCCCCCCCCCCCACAACGTTCCCCTCTATCCGTGCCCAGGGGCCAGCAGTTCATCCCGAGTCTCTCTTCGCGGCCCTGGGCCCGACGAGGGCTCTCAGGGGCCGACAGGGGTGAAAACCGCCCGCCCTGAGGTTCTCAGCACGCTGGACCTTGAGCTCCGACGCTGCGACAAAAAAGCGCAGCGCCGCGAGAAGGCACGACGAGAGTCGTAGACCCCACCTCTCTGGTGCATGCCTCGAGCCCGACCGGTCTGTGAGGTTCCCAGGGCCCGAGCCTGGGCGAGAACGTTCCGTCTGGCAAGCAAGTGCAATGCCCGGACCTCCGGGGCACTCTCCGCGCCGGAGTTAAGGTCGGGCGTGTCCCTCTACAGGAGGAAGGTTCAAAAAAGTAGTCAAAAAATAGTCTGGGGACGAATGTTCGCTTGTGTTTTGATCCTTTTGGGGCAGTTTTGTTTGGTCACTTGTAGTTTTTGGTCCAAAATCCGTCTGTGGGGGGACATGCCCGACCTGACGCTGAAGTTCTGGGTGCCCCGGCCCCCGAAGCCATATGTTCTGCAGCGTGGGCCCTCGGAGGTCTGGGCCCCCCTGTCCCGAGTCGTGTGTCGGCGGTCCTGTGGGCCCGGCGAGGCCGAACACAGCGAGAGGCCTCCGCCGTGCGCTTTCCCCGACGCGAGGGCAGGAGGAGGAGGAGGAGGAGGAGGAAGAACCGAAGAAGAGGAAGAGGAGGAAGAAGGAGGAAAAAGGAGGAAGGAGGAGGAGGAGGAGGAGGAGGAGGAGGAGGAGGAAAAAGAAGACGAAGAAGAAAAAGGAGGAGGAAGAGGAGGAGGAGGAGGAGGAGGAGGAGGAGGACGTCACGACAAACATGCAGCATGGTAGCAAAGCACGGCCCGAGCCCTGGAGCCCGAGTGGCCCCGCGGCCCGAGAGGCCGCGGCGCGCCGGGCGGCGGCGCTCCGCGGGGCCGCCGCCGCCCAGCGCACCCGCGTGGGGCCGGGGCGTGAGCAGGGAGAGGAGGAGGAGAGGAGGAGGAGGAGGAGGAGGAGGAGGAGGAGGGAGAGGAGGAGGAGGAGGAGGAGGAGGAGGGAGGAGGAGGGAGGAGGAATGGGAGGAGGAGGGAGGAGGGGAGGAGGAGGAGAGGAGGAGGGGGAGGAGGAGGAGGAGGGGGAGGAGGAGGGGTGGAGACGGAGGATGTGGAGGAGGAGGAGGAGGAGGGGGAGGAGGAGGAGGAGGAGGAGGAGGCGGACGAGGACCAGTGTAAACCCAAGAGCCATCAACGATGTTGGAACAAACCCTCCCTCCAAGCTACTTCATGGGCCCTGCAAGGGTTCAGCTTCACTGAGGGAACTGGCTCGTTGGAGGACAACCACTTGCAGACCCTGACGAATGCGAAAACATCGTTCTCTGGATTCCAACGCCACGGATCAACCTGACTGTTGCGATTTGACGTTCCAGGCTCGTACCAGAACGCCATCCTTGGGATTTCGACACCTCGAGTCAACGTAACTGTCCCTGTTAGTCTTGAATCCTTCCAAAACATAATTTCTGGTACGCTGAACATTGGAATCCGTAAAACTCTGGCAAAGTGTTAAAAACGATTGTGCGCGGCGCTCTGGCGAGAGCCACATTTTGAAAACGACACGCCCTCAATCCGTGAAGCTCTGGCGAGTTTTTCAAACGACCCTGCGCAGCGATGAGGCGAGAGGCACATTTTGAACAGGAGCCACTCTCAGTCCGTTAAACTCTTGCAAATGCTTCAAACGAATGTGCGCGGCGCTAACGCGAGAACTACATGTTGAAAATGAACCCCCCTCAATCCGTGAAGCCCATGTAAATGTTTCAATCGAATGCGTGCGGCGCTAGGCGAGAGCCTCATCTTAAAAACCACTCGCCCTCAATCCGTGGAGTCCACGTAAATGCTTAAAACGAATATGCGCGGCGCAAATGCGAGAGCCACATTTTGAAAACGACCCGCCCCCAATCCGTGAAGCTCTGGCGAATGTTTCAAACGACTGTGCGCGGCGATGAGGCGAGAGCCACATTTTGAGAAGAAACCGCCCTCCACCCGTGAAATGCTTGCAAATGTTTCAAACGAATGTGCGCTGCGCTAAGGCGAGAACTACATTTTGAAAATGACCCGCCCTCCATCTGTGAAGCTCGTGCAACTGTTTGAATCGAATGTGCGCGGCGCTAAGGCGAAAACTACATGTTGAAAATGACCCGCCCTCAATCCGTGAAGCTCTTGCAAATGTTTCAATCGAATGTGCGCGGTGCTAGGCGAGAACCGCATCTTGAAAACCGTTCGCTCTCAATCCGTGAAGCTCAGGTAAATGTTTTAAACGACTGCGCGTGGCGCTAAGGCGAGAGCCACATTTTGAAAACCACCCGCCCTCCATCTGTGAAGCTGTTGCCAAGGTTTATGGTGAGGAACTCTCATGCGAAACGCCTGGCCCGCCCTAAAAACTGGCTTCGGGGTCCGAGAAGGAGAAGTTATCCATAAGGACAAGGAGTGGAGGAGGAGGAGGAGGAGGAGGAGGAAGAGGCGGAGGAGGAGGAGGAGCAGGAAAAGGCGGAAGAGGAGGAGCATAATGTCGATCGCCTATGTGAGGCCCTGGGCGCGCTGGGCGGCGGCGCTTTGCGCGGCCGCCGCCGCAGCGCCCGCGGCGGCTGCCGCGGCGCGCTGCCTGCGCGGCGGCGCCCCCGAGGGCGTTGTGCTCGCAGCGGCGGCCGCGCTCGCGGCCGCCACCACGACGACGCAGCCCTTCGCGCGGGGCGACTATCAGGCGGCCATAGACTTCCTGCCCGTGACGACGCTGGTGTATTATCGCTGGACTCACAGTAAGGAGGAACCTACGCGCAAGTTGCCAGCATTGATCCGGAAGTTCGACATGCTGTTCGGCATGGATGAGCTCGTCGACGGCTGGGATCCGCTGCCCGCCCCTCCCAAGGACGTCAGAACCATCTTGTGCATACCGTGGGCGCCTGGCCGGCTGCTGGAGTGGGTCAAAGTGCACCTGGACGATTCGGACAACAACAGGACCGTGGTCTTCTCGGGCAGGGAGTCTCCTTTGTCCGAGGCCTGGGGGTGGCAAGACTCGAACCGCTGGAATGAAATGACCGAGCAGTACAGCAAATATTTCAAGCGCATATACTTTTACGTCACCGACGTGGAGCTGGAGGGCGTGGACACCATGCCCATCGGCTTCACCGAATCGTACATGCAGGGTCGCACTGACAGTTTTCTTGATGCCTGGACGCAGGCGAGCACCAAGGACACACGTAAGGTGCACTCAGTTCTCGCGGCATGGGGTAAGTACACCGCCCTGGGTGGCAAGCATCTCCAGCTGCCTGCGGCAATTTCGCGTCCGTGCCAGCGTCAGGTCGGGCATGTCCTCCTACATGCGGGCTTTGACGAAACACGAAGAATAGTCAAAACATGTGTTAAACAAACATCGAGGATCGAACAATCGCCCCCGAACTATATTTTGACTGTTCTCGAATGTTCCTCCTGTAGAGGGACACGCCCGATGTCATGAATGCCAGCGCACCCATCTGTGCGGCACGCTCCGAGGGCCGCCGTCACGGCCGCAACATGTGGCAGTTCCCGTGAACTCCTCGAGGGCTGCTGCACGGGGCCTGCCCGGGGCCGTCGTGGGCTTGCCTGGGGCTCCCGCGGGCCCGTCTTGGGGCCCTGCTGAGGCACTCCTGGCTCCCAGGGCCGTCTTGGTGCCCTGTTTCGCCGCGCACTAAACCACCCCAACCCAACGCGAAGGCCCCGATCTGCCCTCCATTTCCAGTGGGGGGAGGTCGGGGAACATCGAACACACATATGAAGTTCGTACCCTCCCCAACACCGAAGTTCGGGCGAAATTCGGGTCTTCGGGTTTCGTTGGGGTGGTTTGGTAGGTAGTCAATGATGGCCCCCTCGCAGCCGCAGGGGGGGGCCTTTTGGGACCAACCGCGGGGCGTCTTGGTTCCCTCTTGGGCCATCTCGGGGCCTGTCTGAGGCCCCTCCTGGGCTGATTGTTGCCCTCTCGGTGCTGTCCTGGGCCGTCTGGGGAGCTTCGGTCCGGCCCGTCATCGGACTCTCTCGTCATCTTTTTGTTCGGCTCTTCCTGCACCCTCTTGGAGTCATCTTGCGGCGAGACGCGCGACAAGTGCAAAACATGTTCCATGTTTGGTGATCCGACAAGCGGTCGGCGAACGGAGGGAGCACAGACTCAACCACCCCCAGATGCTGCTAGACATTTGTGTGGATTGGGCTGCCTGGAGAGGCCTCTTGGCCGTATCCTCACTGTCTTGGGACCTCTTGCAGCGAAATGCGGCGCCCCTTGGGGCCTTCTCGGGGAAAGAGTGCAAGTGGATGCTCCTCGAATTGAAAGGGGGTTGGTGCTTGCACAACCCTCCCCCCTTCAAGGGGAGTCTGCTTTCGGACCCCCTCCTCGCTTGAAAAGAGAGGAGTGGGGGGTTTTCGCCAGGTACTCCCACTAGACCCGTCCGAGTTTCGGTGAGAGCACCTGGCAATATACTCGTTTTGTAATATTGATTTCCAGGCTTTTCAGGTTTGACCCCCTCCCCCGCCACCCTTTCCGGCGCAAGGAGGGGGATCTGGTACTAGGGTGAGGGTTAGTGTGTGAGCCATGTGGTGCGAGGGTTTTGGTGTCAGGGTTAGTGTCTTAGGATTGGGGTATTAATGTGTCAACGTGAGGGTGTTAGGGCGGTAGGATTAGGGTAGGATATAAGCGCTGGGGCCTTAAGCTTAGAGTGTCAGTGTTCGGGCAGTAGGAGGATAGGGGTGTCAGGATTTGGTTGTTATGGCGGGGCTATTAGGGCCAGGGTTAGTGTGCTGAGGTGCGTGCGTGTGTGTGTGTGTATGTGTGTGTGGTCGTGTGCTCGTGTGTGTTAGGGTTAGGGTGTTCGGGTTAAGGTTCTGGCGTGATGGTTGGAGTTTTAGGTTTAGGGTGTTGTAGTAAAGGTATTAGAGTTGCAATTCGGTGCTGGAGTGAGTGGGTTGGGGTGTTAGGTTTAGGGTGTCAGGGTGAAGAAGGTTGGGGTAGCAGGGTTGCGTTGCATGGGTTCGGGTGTTGCGGTTAGGGTTCGGTGGCAGTGTTCGGGTGTTGGGGCCAGCTTTTCTGAGTCTTGGGTTTAGGGTGTTACGCTCATAGTCGGGGTGTAAGGTTTAGGGTGTTATTGTTAGGGTTCGAGTGGTAGGTTTCAGGATAGGGTGTTAGGGTTGGGGTTGCAGGGTGTGAGTGTTAGGATTCGTGTGTTAGGGATCGGGTAAATGAATTCGGTGGTATGGTAAGGATGTAGAGGTTATGTTGTTATGGTTCGGGTGTCGGGTTTTAGTTGTAGGGCCAGTGCTCAGGGTCAGGGTGGCTTGATGAAGGCTCCAGAATTCGGTGAGGGTGCTAGGGGTAAGGTGTTAGGGTTCGGGTGGGTGGGAGTTCAGGGTATGGTTAGGGAGCCACTGGGGCAGCGTGGCCAAAGGGGGGGAGGAGGGGGGGAGGGCCCGATGTTCCGTCCATCGGGCGGGGGTCAAGCCCCCAACCCCCCTCGTGGAAGTGGGGGGGAGAGGGACTGCCGATCGGGAATGAGGGGGGATCCCAGGACGGGCTAGGAGGAGGGGGAAAGGGGGTCTCTGGGACCCCCTCCCCCTCCGGGGCATCCTGCTCGAGGGTCGCTGGGTGCCTCTTGAGGCAGTGTCAGACCATATCGGCAGCCTGGGTGGCCCCCTTGGGCCGTTCGGGGAAGCCTCTCTCCGTCTTTTCGGAGGGCCCCGGAGGGGCGTCGGGCCGCTCAGGGACTCCTCCTCCTCCTCCTCCTCCTCCTCCTCCTCCTCCTCCTCCTCCTCCTCCTCCTCCCTCCTCTCCTCCTCCTCCTCCTCCCTCGTCCCCCGCCTCCTTCTCCTCCTCCTCCTCCTCCTCCTCCTCCTCCTCCTCCTCCTCCTTCTCCTCCTCCACCTCCTCCACCTCCCCACCCCCTGGTCCTCCTCCTCCTCCTCGTCCTCCTGTTCCTCGCCCTCGCCGATGCGTTATTCAGGCAACTCGATGGGCGGCGGGGGTAGGGTTCAGAAGTCGTCGAACACGTGGCGAAATCCGAACCCTGCCCCCGCCTCCCATCGATCCGGGAGGAGCGGTGGTCGGGGGTGGTGGACGGCTCGGGTTCTGCCACCTGGGGGCAGGCGATGGGGTCATGCCGAGATGGGGTGTCCTTGGAAGATTGACAGGCTGCAGGCAAAACGACTTTCTGCGTCGGCGGCTAGGCAGAGCAGCTGCGCGGGCGGAAGAGCGAACTGAACGGGGGCACCGCTGTAGCGAAGTGTGCCGCAACGCGAGAACAGGGAACAGAAAGGGGAGAGGGCGGCCGAAGGAAGAGGAGGAGCGAAGCCGGCAAACAACAGAAGACGTCCAGAAAGCCTACCATACAGCACTCGAAATGCTGCCACGCCTCCACGTGCCACGGGGCACGGTGTCGGATGGTTCCTGGCAGTAACTCTCCCGGCGGGGAGGGCGGTCTGGCGAGTGCCTGGACGAGGGTCGCGAACCACGCGATCGACATCCGCAACGACGCCAGCGGATGGTCCGACACCCCAGAGGCCAAGGCCGCTGGCGTCCAGAGGCGGCCGGGCGGGTGACCACAGCTTGGCATCGCTCGGACGTGTGCATGTCTCTTTCGGCGAGGACCATCGAGGAGCATCCTTGATCATTTCGCGAAAAAACCACGCACGAAACCAAACGAAGCACAGGAAATGGACGTCCGAGCGATGGCCAGACAGGGGTTCAAGGGCAACGTTCGGGGCACAGGCTCGGAGGGGGGGCGGGGCGGCATCGAGCCCCAGTCGCTCCCTCATCGCGGGCCCGACTGCCCACCCCGCCCAGGAGCGCGCGCTTCCGACGATCTGTCGGCGAGGTACCGCCAGTTCCGGGCCAGTGTTTCCCCCCCTGGGCCAGCCCTCGCGGGTGAGGAGAGGTGCACCTGGCCTGTCCTTCCTCCTCGCGTCACGGAGAGATCACGACGGGATTAAGTCAGTTGGACCATTTTCGGCGTCCGGGGAGCCCTTGCCAGGCCCCAGTGAAGGGGTCCAGGGAAGGGGTCCAGGCCTCTCGGGCACCACGCTGTGAGAAAATCACGACGTCGGAGGTTCCAGATTTTCAGCGCCCTTTCGCGCCAGAGTGGCAGCTCAGGGCCCCGTTCTTTGATTTCTTCGGCCTCTCAGCGTGAGCAGTTGTTCCTTGTCTGGTTGGCGGGTTTCTGCTTGGGGGCTTTCCCGTCGCAGGATATTTTTTTCCGGGGAGCTCGATCTATCGCTTGTTGCCGCGAGGCGGCCTTACTGCGGATGAGTGGGCTTCGTGTTCCGTGGGGTGAGAAACATTACAGGGGCCGCGCAGGGGCCTTCAAGGGCCGCTCTCACTCACACTTCGCTCGCTCACCGTCGAGTATTTACCCCCCCCCCCGATCACCACCCGAGGCGGTACATTGAGAAGGACCAGTGGTGGACAGAGCTGTCTAAGTATAAGTTCATCATGGTCCCTCTGGGGTCGGCCATCCAATGCTCCAAGGTGCCCGAGGCCCTTTCCATGCTGACCATCCCGGTCATCAAGCGAGGTCCTTACCGCACCCATGACGACCTCGTGCGGATGGGTTTCCCGATCGTCCTCGTAGAGGCATTCGGAGCAACAGTACAGACATATACACGTTTACCAACATCGATCCCGAGCAATGTTTTGTTGCATCTTGGATGGGTTATCTCGATGGTTCACAGATGTAGCGCGATCTCTGCCGTGCAATATACATGGTGCAGGAAGTGTTGCAATGTATGCGTTGCAACACATATATGTATGTGTATATATATATATGTATACTGGACACGCTATGTGTTGCGATCTAAGTGGTGCAGCCTGATGCAAGTACGCCGCGCCAACAACGATGACGATTACCCTGGTGATGTTGATGACGACGGTGAGGGCAATTCCGCCGCCGATGACGACGAAAATGGTGATGGTGATGAAATTGGTGGTGATGATAACGACGAGGCGACGATGACGCTGGCGATGATGATGACCAGGGTTCTGGTGATGATGCCAGCGAAGTGCCCGCGTGCATGACATCGTCCAGGGCGACGGCATTGACGGTGATGATGACGGCGGCGGTGATGATCCCGATGATGGTGATGACGACGACGACGATGCTGATGATTGTGGTAATGATACTGATGATGATGGTGATGATGATGATAGGGGATGGTGATGGTGATGGTGATCGCGATGGCGATGAGGATTGTGAGGATCGTGACGGGGATGATGATAATAATGCTTATAATGATGAGGATGAGGATGAGGATGAGGATGATAATGAGGATGATGATGAGGATGATGATGATGATGATGGTGGTGGTGATGGTGACGATGGTGACGATGGTGATGGGGATGGTGATGGTGATGGCGATCGCGATGGTGACGAGGATGGTGAGGATGGTGATGAGGATGATGATGCTGCTGATGATGATGCTGATGCTGATGACGATGCTGATGATGATGATGATCAGGATGATGATGCTGCTGCTGCTGATGGTGATGATGGTGATGATGATGATGATGATGATGACGCGTTTACGCTGACGATAATGGTAACGGTTGCGCTGATCTGATCAGGGTGATGGGAAAGTGCGCGCCCGCAGCAAGACAAGCTTCCTAACATATTGTTGTTCTGAAGCTGTGTGGTTGTCGCTTGCTGGTGAACACCACTGTACTCACATGGTTAGACAACCAATACTGCAGAAACGATTTCGACGTGCGCGCGCGACGGCCGCACGCGTGTGGCCCGCATGGGATGTGGTTCGACAGCGTAGGCTGGCGCGCGATGGTGGTCGGACATGTTCGACATGCACGCGCAAGTTGCCCGCATGGCTTGATTTGACAGAAGGCATACACCGAGCTTGGCATCGCTCGGACGTGTGCATTTTTTCTCGGCGAGAAGCATCGAGGACCATCCTGGACCATCGAGCAAACAAAAACACGCACGAAACCAAAAGATACACGGGACATGGACGTCCGAGCGACGGCAAGCGATGGCATTCTCAAGATTCCTTTCTCTTCGCGGGGTGCAAGTCCGGACCACGTACAGTCCAGTCGTTGTGTGGACTCTTGGCATCCTCTTGGGGGGCTCCTGGAAGCTTCTTGGAAACCTCTTGGGGGTCCATTTGGACCTCGTTGGGGCCTCTTGGGGGCGTCTTTGTCCGTCTTGTGTCGCTCATGCGCCGTCTGGCCCCTTCGGAGGCCGTCTTGGAGGCCTCTCGGGGCCGCCTTGGGGCTCTGTTGGGGTCGTCCTGGGCCGTCTTGAGGGTGTCTTTGGCCGTCTTGCGGGCCCCTTTGGGCCATCTTGGGGTGCTCTTCGGCCGTCTTGGGACCCTCTTGGGCCGTGTGGGGGCCATCCTGGAGCTGCTTGGGGCGTCATGTGCGCCTGAGAGTTCCAAAATGCAACAACGCTAGAATCATTGGACAACCTTGGGGACACTATGGTTTTGGCATCTGCAGGCGGCTCTTCTTGGGCCAGCTTGCAGCTCTCTTGGGCCGACTAGGACCTCCTGGTCCTCGAAGTGGGTAGTTGGGTTTCGAAGACTGCAAAGCGGATGGATATCCGACAAAATAGCGTGGATTGCGGACACTAGTGAAATTCAGCGGGATATCCGATGTCGTGATTTTCTCGGTCCGGGGTCCTCGGTGGTCACTGGAGGTCTTGATAACGCTCCGAGAGCCAGCTTTTCATTCTGAGCTCACCTGGAGGAGTCCTGAGGAATCAAGTGGGCCCCATAGGAATCAACAGGAGCCTGGAGGCAGACAGCTGGCCAGACAGCGGCAATCGCCCGAAATTACGAGGAATGTGACCGCTGCGGCGTCACCGCAGGGGCAATCAGGTGGAACCTGGAGGCGGGACGCGCTAGCGCCGAGCTGTTCTAGGCCTCCTAGAAGCTTCTTGGGGGCACTGCTGGTGCCTCTTGGGGGCCTGGTGGGGGCCTCCTGGGGGCGGGCTGGAACCGTCTTCGGGCGCGCTTGGGCCGTCCCACGCCTTCGGAGCCGTGTTCCCGTTGTTGCTTGCCTTGCTGAGGCCTTCCGTTCCGCTCCCGGGCCGAAGGCTGCCCCAGGCACGCCGACATTTGGAGGGGTCTCGGTTCGTGGGTGTCCTGCTGGGGCGGGGCAGCCTTCGAAGGCCAGCTCGAGGGCTTCGTGGGCCTCGTGCCCTCCTGGGCCCCTCTCTTGGCGGCCTCTCTGGCCGTCTTGAGGCCCTCGCGTGTTCCTGGTGGGCTTTTTTTGATAGAAAAGAGGATCCTAGAGGCCTCTCGGGCCGTCTTCGGATGTCACGGAAGCGAAAGCACATCGAACACGTTGTTTTACGCGTCGCGGCGCGGCAGAGGAAGTCCGACGGTAGACGAGAACGGCGGGCATGCCAACAACTAGATTTGAGTCGGGCCTGTCCCTTTAAGGGGGAATGCTCAAAGATTGTCAAACAATAGTCTGGTGACGATTTTTGCTAGTACCTTTTGACTGACCATTTTCGAGATCTGTTTGACAATTTTGAATTTGTCGTCCAAAATCCGCCTGTAGGGGGACATGCCCGACCTAAAACTAGATGTTCTTTTCAGGGATTGGGGGGATTCTTCCTTTGGGGGGCCCTCTTGAGGTTTTTCCGATGGATTTGTTTTGCAAGGTTTCCAGCCTCCAGCGCATCAGTTTCTTTGCTTGTGTTGGTTTTCCCTTGTGTTTGTTTGGCTCCCCACCGCCAACTTAAGGAATGTATGTCTTCTTCGCCCAGAGAGCGGAGTCGGTGGTCCGGTCCCCCCGCAGGAGAACGCAGAGACGGAGGATGAGGAGCAGGAGGAGGATGAGGAAGGGAAGTGGAGAAGGAGGGAAGGCATGGAGGACCGAAACGGTTCACCCCGAAGCCCCGAAGCCAAACCGACAACGAAGAACGCCAAAAACGCGAGGTGCCGCTGTGCCCCCCGACCCCGCCGCTGGACCCCCCCTCCTCTGGCTCGCCTCGCGCTCCTGGCCCTGCGCCGGAGAAGCTCTGCCAGGGGGGCTGCCAGAGCCGGCTCGAGACATCCGCTCGGCCCCCCCACACGTTGCTTCTTCCAGCCGCACCACATCATGATGGCATCCTTGCCTCTCGACCCATCCTGGCCCTTGGCCGTGGCCACGGGCTTCCAGTTTCGGTTCTGGCCTGGGCTTCCGAGGGCCCCGAGTCTCCACCCAGCCCCCCCACGTCATGTGTTTCCAGTATTCAGCCACGCGCAGAAGGGGGGTGGGGGGAGGGACGAGGGCTTCTTAGAAGTACCCCTGCTTCTTACAAGGCGCGGGCCTTATCTACAGATGTAAGGCCGGCGCCTTCTAAGAAGCAGCCTCCTTCTAGGAATCCCTCCCCCCCTCCCTCCACCCCCTTGTGCGCGCCGCCCAAATACGTGGTCCCCCAGAAGTTTGGACCCCTTAATCCTGAGTCTGTTTTGGCGGTCCCGAGGCCCGGGAAGGGCTCCTGGGACGCCGAGAGTAAGGACACGTATTCCGCCGTGCGTTTTTCTTGAGAAGCACGAGTGTTTGGACCCGCGCATCTTTACGATGCGATCGCACCGCATGCCGCTCGCTGTGTCCCTCCAGGCATGGGCCGACATCACGCCGGAAGCGACCCAGCGTTGGTGGCGGAGCTTGTCCCCCGTGCTGCTGAGCTTCCGCGAGCGCTGCCTCAGCACCGAGGGCTACTGGCGCCTGCTGACCCAGGGGGGCTGCATTTGAGATTGTGCCTTTTATTCGTTGAGCCCGTGTAGTGTCCGTCACGGGGTGTTGGTCCCACCCCAACTCCCTTCCGCCCCCCCGCCTCCCCCGCAGGGGTACCGAGCATGCGCGGTGGGGCAGGGGTGGCGGCGGTTCCCCCGCGAGCATGACGGCGCTGTGTTCATAGGCGTGCTGTGGTGCTGGCAGGCATGCCGTGGTGCTCGCACGGCTTGCCGTTGCGCTGGCAGGCACCCCCCTCCCCCCGTGACGAACGTTACGGCTGGGAATGCAAGCACAATCTCTTCGAGGGGCAAAACTGGCATGAACAGAAGTGTTCGGAGGTCCGCGCGGATTTCATAGATCTGCGCTGGGCTCCTGGCCGCGCTTCCGGCGCCGCCGCTGGCGCGCTCCGCACGCCACATGGGGGAGGGGCCAGCGTTGATCCAAGAGATCCGCGTGGACCTCCGAAAGTTTCTAATCATGCTGTTGCTTGTTCCTCTATACATGCCGCCTGATGCAGTCAGCCCCCAAAGCACAAGATCGGGGGGGCCAGAGGTGTGCTTGGCCCAACCCAGAGATCCAAGCATTTTATTTGTTTCGCACTGGGCGTTTTCGCCAGGTTTCACGACCCCGGACTATCACAGATCGACCCTGCTCGGACAATGCGGCAGAACGGTGGAGTCCGTCGGGACTCTTCGCGATGCTAATTCTTACTTGGCAGTGCCGGATCTCAGGGAAGGTGCCCCCAACTTGCCGCTCCATTTTGGAGCCCCTGAGGCCTCTTGGGCCTCGTGAGGGTTGCTCCAGAGGCCGTTGGGGCCTCCTTGGGTTAAGTCGGGCATGTACCCCTACAGGAGGAACATTCAAAAATGGTATAACAAATAGTCTGGGGACGTTTTTCCAACTATTCTTGATCATGTTTGAACATGTTTTGGTGTGTCGTACTGTCCCTCCGAAATCCGCTTGTAGGAGGACGTGCCCGACCTGACCCTTGGATATCCTGGGGGCACCCTGGGCCAGGGACGCTCCTGGCCAGCACCCGGGAAGAAGAAGAAGCAGAAGCGGCACGGGCGGGAGATCGGCACGAGCGAAATGGGCGCGGAAAGAATGGGCACAGTGCCCAACAACAGTTCCTGTTCATGTTGGACAGGACTCGCTGTCCGCGCCGCTGCGGCCTGTGTCCGTTTGAGACAGAAGGCCGCCTGCCCAACAGCGGCCGTTGTTGGTTTGGGGCGTCACTTGTTGTTGGTCTTGGCATCGCTCCGACGTGTGCATTTTTCCTTCGGCGAGGACCATCGAGGAGCATCCTTGATCATCTGGCGAAAAAACAACGCACGAAACCGAAAAAAACACAGGGACCGGACGTCCGAGCGATGGCGAGTGTTGGTCACTGCGCCCATCGTCTCCGCACCCGTTCCGGGCGTCGAAAGGAGCCCCGGCAGGTCCGCGCACATCGCAAGCGGCGGCAACCTCACGGGCCACGATGCGGCTCCCGCGGCCCCGCGCCCTTCGCCAGCGCCCTCCCGCCCTCGCATTATGTTGGGCCTGTCCCCCTACAGGGGGATTTTGGACGAAACATAAAACATATCCAAAACAAATTCCAACATTGTCAAAACATGCAAAAATATTGTCCCCAGACTGTTTTTTTGAGACTATTTTTGAATATTCCCCCTGTAGAAAGACAGGCCCGACTTATCCCTCGCAGGTCCGCGCACCTCGCCAGCGCCGTGGGCTCGCGGGAGGACGGCGGCAACCTCACGGCCCCCAGCGCGGCGCCCGCGCGCCCCGTGGCCTGACCGCCGGACGGAGGAGGAGGAGGAGGAGGAGGAGGAAGAGGAGGAGGAGGAGGAGGAGGCGGAGGAGAGAAGAGGCGGAGGACAGAGAGGAGGAGGAGGAAGGAGGGACAGAGTACGAGGAGGAGGAGGAGAGGAGGAGAGGAGAGGAGGAGGAGGGGGGAGGAGGAGGAGGAGGAGGAGGAGGAGGAGGAGGAGGAGGAGTACGAGGAGGAGGAGGAGGAAGAGGAAGAAGAGGAGGAGGAGGAGGAGGCGGAGGAGGCGGCGGAGGAGGCAGCCTTCGTCGCCACCGCTGGATTCGCCCCGAGATCCTGGTCAGAACACACCCTCCGGAAGAGGTCCGGGGAGTGCAGTCGGACCGAGGTGCAAGACCGGGGTCGGTTCGGGCAGGGTGCCCTCGTGATCTTCGTGCTCGTTGGGTGTTTGGTGCATTCCTGGGGAGGGCACCCTCGGGTGTTAGGTGTCTTTGGCCGAGGGAGGGTCTCATGTTCTCCAGGGATGCTCGTCTGTCTCAGTTCCGACTGTAGCGGTATACGTACCTTTTGGTTTCACCAGGGGCGAGGGGCGAGCCACTGCCCGGCGTTCGACATTCGGAGCCGTGATGGTTCCGAACCAACAGTTCGGTCTCATTCGGGTGCCGTCGGGGCATTTCGGGCGCCAGTTTCGGCCATACTCGGGCTGAGCATCGGTCACAGTTTCTGTCACGGCGCATCTTTGCTGGAGACGAGATGGCGTTACGGATTGGCCCACATCGATTGCACGACGTAGTCTCTCTCTCTCTCTCTATCTATCTATCTATCTATCTATTTATCTATATATCTATCTATCTATCTATCTATCTATCTATCCATCTAAATATCTATCTATCTATCTATCTATCTATCTATCTATCAATCTATCTATCTATCTAGTTATCTATCTATCTATATATGTATATATATTGCATCAGCGCAGATGGGATGAAAACTCAGTGTTTCGGGGCCCACGCTGGCCAACGATGCGTCTATGGTCAGATGCGCTTGTTCTGTTGTCTCTCTCTCTCTCTCGCGCTCTCGCCCTCGCTCTGTCTCTCTCCCTTCCTCTGTCTAGCCACGTGTCCGCACGTCGCCTTTCTTGTTGGGGCCTTCTTCGTCACGCGGTCTGACACGTGAGATCTTCACAGTCTGTCCGCCGTCCGTAGCTTCAGACGCAATGCGCCGGGGGAGGGGGTCTGTTGCCCGCCCTCGTATCTTAAGGCTGCACCGCCGCAAATAGTGTTTTGCGGGCTGTCGCACCGCAGTGCGCCTCGCGGACGGACCCTGGTCCGCCTACTTGTCCGGTCTCTCCCTTCCTCTGTCTGTGTCCCAGTCGCCCCGCCAAGCCCCGCAGGCACAGGGCGCGCTCCTCCAACGGTGCGTCGATGGTAAGATGCGTTTGTTTTGTTGTTTCTCTCTCTCTCTCTCGCTCCCGCTCTCTCTGCCTCCCTCCCTTCCTCTCTCCTTGTTCCGGTCGCCCCGCCGAGCCCCGCAGGCACGGGGCTCGCTCCTCCCCGCCTCTCGCCCCCCCGAAGGGGGGCCGGCGTGCGGCGCGGAGTTTTTTTTTTTGCGCTCCCCACAGCGGGAAGCGGCAGTCGATCCGCACCTACAAGCAAGGTAACGATTGTGATGATGAAGGGGAGGAGAATGGGGAGGAGGAGGAGGAAGAGAAGGAAGAGGAAAAGAAAGAGGTGAAGGAAGAAGAGGAGGAGAAGGAGGAGGAAGAGGAGGAGCAGGAGGAGGAGGAAGAGGGGAGAGGAGGAAGAAGAAGAAGAAGAAGAAGAAGGAGAAGGAGGAGGCGGAGGAGGAGAGGAAGTGTGACTCAGGAGGGGAACAGAAACACACAGACACAATCAATCGTCGATCCCCGGGAGAAGATTGGAAAATAGGGGAAGTGGGGGGGAAGACAGAAAGCCCAGAAAATGTGGGAGAATATGAGGAATCCGGTTATTTGTGTCTATTTATTTGTGTGTCCCAGGGCCCCTTCGGTGACAGTGTTCGCCTTCTGCGCCTCCTGCTGGTCATTCGAGCCAGCTTCGATGATACATCTCCCCCCTAATTCGTATCATTTCTGGGGTCCCTCCCCTCCCCTCCCTCCCTCCCTCCCTCCCTCCGCCTCCTCCAGAAAGCCGTGCAGGTTTCCCTCGCACTTCAGTGGCGCAAAGAATACAACGACCTCTTCGAGGCAGAGCGCAGCCGTTCGTATGCAGACTCTTGCACGCCACCGCAAATGTACCCTACGAGCTGCCGAATCATCTGCCGATGCGCCGTCTGGTCGACGGCGGCAGCTCCCAAAGTCTGCGCGACAAGAACGGACAAAACAGCTCGAAGCAAGAGTGGGACAGGGCAAACCCCGAGAGCTGGGCGTCGCAAGTCTTCACAGCGAGCGTGCTCGCCCCGTTTCGGCTGCCCAGAACATGTCCGGTCGACCTGGCTTGAAACATGCAGCAGAAGGTCAGGGTTTGCAGTGGAGGCCCATGCCAAGAAGCGCCCTGCTTGCCTCCAGGGTGCCCTGGGTTTCTTGGGGTTCGATGGTTGGCCATGGATAGCGTAGCGTCCCCACACGAAACATCGATGGGCGTTCTGGGGTCTCAGGGTTGGGTTTCTTGTGGGAGGTTTCTTGTTGTCGGGCCTCCACTGTACGGTTCCAGTCGTGCGTTCTCACGGTGGTTCATTGGTGTCGCGACGTTGGAGCTCATGGAAGCGAGCGAGGGCCACCAGGAAACGAGTGGTGCAGGGGGAAGAAGGCGAGCAGGGCAGGGCGAAGCGAGCGGCGCCAGTGAGCGCCGGAAGGAAGCGGGGCCGACGGCGTTGTCATTCGCGCGTGAGTTTCCCGCGTGAGGTCGCGCGTATGGTCGTAATGTCATGGTGCCAGCATCGCAGAGCGGATTTCGTTCGGAAAAAACGGGATGGGTATGGATTGTCCCGGAGAGTGTCGTTCCGGATTTCGACGTGAGTTTCGTGCGGATTTTTTGGTCAGGAATGAAGACTAAGATAAATCCACGAGAAATTCGCGTCGTTTTGTCGCTCGCCGTTTCGGGGCCTTGCATTGACAGAAGTCCATGCGGAAGTCCGCTGCAGCACGTTTGGAAGGTCGGTGCAGTGAGCAATGCCATCTGGCGTAAGACCCCTTCGTGTCGCCGCTCGTGTGGGGGCGGGGGCGGCGGGGCGAAGCGAGCGGATCCGGGGCGAGGCGAGCGGATCGGGGCGAGGCGAGCTGGGCAGGGCGACGCAGGCGCTGCACGGCGAGAGGGGTCGCACGAGGCCGGAGTGGGCCGGAGGACCCCGCGGACCCCGGGAGCCCGGGCCTGGCCGCATCAGATTTGGCCAGGGAGAGCGCGAAGAGCGGGCAGTGTCTTCGGAGACCTAGAGGTCGACACCACCACCAATATCGGCGATAGGCCTTCCCTCAGAGCCCCGAATCATCAGGGGTAACTCGGGTCAGGGATAACTCGGGTTCCTTTTTCGGGAATCCGAACCCGAGTTACCCCGGACCCGAGTTACCCCGGATAACTCGGGCGTCCAGAGCCCCGAATCATCAGGGGTAACTCGGGTCAGGGCTAACTCGGGTTCCTTTTTCGGGAATCCAAACCCGAGTTACCCCGGAAACGAGTTACCCCGGATAACTCGGGCGCCCAATTCCCCGAGGGGAAATGATTCCGATCTCGGTGATGGTGGTGATATTCGGGCGTCTTAGGGGGCCGAAAGATCACCAACACCAACATCCAGGATCGTCTTTCCCCGGTTGAGGCAACCCCCTGTGTTGGTGTTGGTGCTCATGTCCAGGCCTCCTGTGTCTCGCCTTGCGGCTGCAGCGCTCCCCGGCGTACCAGCGTCCTGGTCTATCAACGTCCCCGCTCGAGGGGCCCCGAGGATCGCGCCGCACCGCCGACGCATCCGCGACGCGGCACGGTCTGGAGTCCCGACGGGGACGAGGCATCGGCGCGGGCGGTGCGAAGCTCTCTCCGTCCCGACAAGGTGCCCGGCGCCCGCCCCCAACTCCCGCGCGGCGCTCCGATCGACTACACGTTCGCGTTTTGGAAGACGATCAATAGCGAGGAGGCATATTGCCAAATGATTTCCAGATGTCTAAAACATGTTTGAAGTCTGTGTCGAGTGTACCAACACCACATGTTTTAAGCATGCTTCGAACATGTATGAGCACGTAGAAGACATTTTAAAGACATTCTGAATTCAATGATAGAACGGTTGGGGTGTCCCTTGCCATGGCGTCCCCAACGTAAGCGTCACCCTGCGGCGGAGTGACCTTTGGTTCGGGCCCACTGGGGTCCCCCGATCGCCGAACGCGATGTGGCAGCAGCGTCTTGCGGGCTTGTGCTTGGCCCTTCCGCGGCTCCAAGAATGCCGCGCACCCGAGGTCATTCTTACCCAGGGTCGCTCTTGCGCGTAGTCGATCCCAGAGCTCAGCGCGCCCGCTGGCAGCCCGCCCTCATCGCAGGTGGGACGAGGTGGGGGAGCAGGAACCACTTTCGGCCCTGTCTCGAGAAAGAAACACCAGCATGGACATACACTTTTTGAGTTCCGAGACGTCTGCGGTTCCTCCAGCTGCGGCCCCGTCCCGTGTCGATTCGATGAGTCGATGTTCTCCGATCAACCCACCGATTCGTGCCCGTTCGATGTATTTCGATTGCCGATTCGATGACCTGAGGACGAGGAGTAGGGGGAGAATGACCGCGGAGGACGAGGAGGAGGAGGACGAGAAGGAGGACGAGGAGGAGGAGGAGGAGGTGGTTCGACTTCAGTGTCGCCACGAGAAGGGGGGTGCTGCAAACCTTGCTGCGTGCAGCTGCTTTCGGCCACGCCGCCGGGCGCTTTCCCTGGCACCTGCGCGCTGCAGCACTGGCCTCTCTCCTTCGGCGCGGGCCTCGCCCTCGGCGGAGGGCCGGCGCAGGTAGAGCAGCGGCGGCTCCGCCCGCGGGCGGTGGGCGGATGGCGGCGGAGGTAAGAGCGAGACGTCAACATGTTTGA